GTGGCAATGGGTGATGCACAAGAACCATGGCGAGCACATGCGTTGGAGGGATTTCAAAAAAGAGCTCATCACAAGGTTCGGCTCAAGTGACTACCACGATTACAATGAAGCATTGTCGAGAATCAAGCAAGTCGGAAGTCTGAGGGAGTATCAAAAGGAGTTCGAGCGCATTGCTAGTAGAGTGAGGGATTGGCCTGAGAGTGCGCTAGTAGGGACGTTCGTTGGAGGGCTTAAAGCCGAACTAGTAGCCGAGGTGAGGTTGGACAGGCCAGGATCGATGCGAGCAGCTATAGAGTCGGCCAGACTGCACGAAGATCATCTCATGGCAGTACGCAAGGCGAAGCCGAGCGACGTGCGCACGGAGACCAAGCGCACGAACGCTGCGACCGAAGAGCTAATGGCGCGAACCGAAAGCAAGCCGTTGGGCGAGGCTGTTCGAACGACAAGCAACATACGGCGGCTTACTGATGAAGAGATGCAGCGACGACGAGAAAAAGGCCTTTGCTATTCGTGCAATGAAAAGTTTACGCCAGGCCACAAGTGCAAGGGTAAGGAAGTATTTTTGTTGGAAATTGGAGATAATTGCGAAGAAGAAGAACCACGAGAGGAGTACTTGTTGCATATGGTCAAAAGCAAGAAACGTGGTCCGAAGATGATCACATTCACGGCTGAAGTAAGAGGAAAGTTGGTGGAAGTATTGGTTGATAGTGGGTCTACGCTAAACTTCATTGATGAGGAGTTGTCCAAGGAAATTGAGATTCCATTCACCAAGGTAAAACCTTTTGGAGTCAGGGTAGCAAACGGGGAAACACTTCGGGAGGATATTCTCTTCAAGGGTGTAAAGTTAAATGCTCAAGGTCAAAAGATGAGGGTGGATCTCTATGCCTTGCCATTGAAGGCGACTGACATAGTACTTGGATGCCAGTGGTTGGAGACCCTTGGTCCAATCACAACTGATTATTAGAAAGGGACTATGGAGTTTGGGAGATCAAGTAAGAGGGTCAAGTTGAGGACTGAGGATCCAGGCGAGTCACCTGATGAGGATGACGAGGATGGTCGAGTTAGGAAGCTGAACTTTCTAATCCTTGGGGACAAGGAAGGTCTTGAAGAGGAGGGGAATGATACGGAAGTAGAGTTAGGGACCGGCGAGTCTAGTGAGGAGCTAAAAGGCAAAAGGTGTGCATCGGCACTTGATGCAAACGTGTGGGCGAACAAGCCGCGCACGCGGGTTTGGCAGGGAGTACGCGGGCGCAAGATGGACGGGTGCACGGGTGTACGAGGGGACGCCGTAGGAGATCTGGGCGCGGGCGGTAGCTGGGACGCGCGGGGGTCACGCGGAAACGAACAGGGCGCGAAGGGCGCGCAAGTAAGCGGCACGCGGGCGCGCGACACAACGCGCGTGAGGGAGTTGGCGAGGGCCGGGGGCGCGCGATAGCGCGTGAGTGTAGCGCAGGCGCGGAAGTCCTAGGCACGGCAGGATTAGTCGGCGGACTGGGCGCGCGCGCGAAGGACGCCGCGTGGGGAGTAAGCGCGTGGGTTGCC